CTCCCAGGAACATATCTTCAACGATAAATGTACCTGAATTTGCACATACGTCTATAGGAGGCGAGTCCCTGTGATAGATCATCGGTAAAAAAGGCTGCGAGTTTGGGCTTTTTTGAGACCTGGAAGTTAATTGTCTTTTTTACTTAAAAGCCGGCAAGAGACACCTCATGGACACACATGTGAGTCATGGATACCGTGGGCATTGCCTGTGCGCCACGCGCGATGTTGGTCGGATTCACGGACCATGACGAAGTTTCTCCGACGGGAAGGCCATATCCTTATGCCCAAGCATGGAGCAACCTTTGTGTGAAGGTGGTGACATTTAAGTAGGGGTTGGCGGCAGACTATAACACCCAAGAACGGAAGTCTGCCCTCCACTTTTGCCCTCCTGCGGAGGATCGAGCTATGCTGTTCTTTGTAGCAGTTTATTACGGTCGGTGATGACGAGGATGTCGTTTACGTAGCTCCCCAGACATTTCGCTTTTACCCCTAGAACAGTCGCTTCTCAGATTTTTTGATGAACTTCTAAGGCAATGAGCCCAGAAACTGATGAATACATCGGAGTGCCCTTACTTTGCTTCAAGCAGTGCTTTGGGTGCTCTACGGAATCCTGAGTTGTGCCCTGCCCATCGTGCTTATCATAATTGTGACATAGAGGGTCACTTAGTGGTTAAACCGCAGGGGTCTGTGCTATGGACGCAAAGAATTAGCCGGCATCAGTTGACATCAGCTGCTCATTCGGTTCAAATGTGACCGTCTTTATTTTGCCGAAATATCGCTCTGCTGAATACAATGTCGTTTGTGTGTTCGTGGTTAGGAAACTCAATTTCTACAATAAATCCTTTGCTAGCCCGTACGTGCATAGGCTTTGGAGGAAAACGAGTGGGTTTATGAACCGTTGGGAGACCGCAGGATCATGCCGCAGCTGCCTCTGTGGGCTCTGCCATATACCAGTCTGGAAATCATGCATCCCAAAGAACATCTTATTCTTCAAATATACCAGTTTTTTATTGGCAATGACCTTATCCTTATATAGAGGAGCCAGCATTTTGTTCGCCTTCACCCATAGTGACTTCAAACTGGCGGTCCCACTGACTTTTTAGTGCTCTTGACCGTTGAGGAGTATGATGGGTTAGTTTCGGTATTGAAGACAACGGTTGACAGATCACTGTCAGCAGACAAAATAACTGTTTTCGTGTCGGTTCCTAACTCGCTTAGAATCTTTTCGGTTTGGCGTGAGTAAACTGAGGGCACCCGGTGGATTTGCCATTGTTAATGCCTACTTGCCTTTTACAATATAATAAAGTAGTTTGTGGCAGGCCTTATATGCAGATGGGGACGTTTCAAAAGGGAGGGGTACTTTCTCCTTTGACCAGCATTACAATTAATTAGTTTTTCTTTTCAAGCAAGTTCGAACAAGACAAACCAATGTCCATAAGTAGTTTTCAACTGTAAAATAAGACTTAATGCGTTTGTACTATTTCTGTTCAAGAAATAGGGTCGTACGTAGCTCCGTATACCTCATCCCGATAGTGTCGTAAGAATATCCTAGCAAATAGTATTTCTAGTTAATTTATGAAATATCTATCAAGTTCATAGCACTAATTAATTTCATTTTAGTCCAGAAGCTTTGTGTCAACTGATCATACTACATCTGAGCTGACATTTTATAAAAACGCCTGATCTAATGCTCTCTATCCCCCAAAATACCTAATCCTTTGAATTCATTACCAACGAATTAATGTTAATAATCAAACTTCTCACTTTCACTTGTCCATGAAGCGATCGGTCTGCACTTTCGCCAAATTATTCGCAACCGCTGTCAACCTGGGATCAACAGTCTCCAGTCTACCCCGCTTACCCGGCCTACGGTCCAAGGCCAGTGGATACGCAGACTCAGGTAGAACCTTTCGTGGTGTTTTTTTCTTCCTGTATAGTTAATCTGTGTCATGCAAGATCCATTTCAAGCAGACATGGACGGAGCAGACGTATCCTACAGACGGTCTAACCTCAACGTATTTGTCTTACAGCCATATTTATGACCC